AACAGTTTATGTGCGTCGCTCCACCACGTATGCCGGGGCTCCACATCACTCGAAACCAATAGCCAAGAGACTGTGACACGGCTCCTCCTGCATTTTGGCTAGCGTCGCCATCGGAGAAGAAATGCGGGTCGCGTTGAATGTACTGGGGAATGTAGATTTCCCACTGTTCAGTCTGAAGACTAGATCGGATAACATGGAGTTCTCGGAGTGTTTCGGTGCCGAGATTGTATTTCTTTGTGGAACCCCAGAGGGCTTGGGCAATATGCTTGCTGACCAATGATTCCAGGCGATGGCAAAACTTGGAGGGGATTTGGGTCTCCAATCGCTCTTTTTGGGACTGGCGAGCAGTGGTCGCACCTGGAGATTTGGAGTTATTCATAGCATAATAGTGTGCTTTCAAAATGACTCGCAAATAATGTTCCAAGTTGAAGTAAGAACATCGCATCCAACGACAAGCTTTGGTCGCGGTGCAGATGTGACCAAGAAGTTCAGCGATCTCACAAATCGGCAATTGGCGACGAGTTACGGCACTTGTGATAAAGTCGATCAGGATGTCTCGCTTGTAGTCTGGAAGGGAGAAAGTCAATCGACGTGAATCAACCAACCAACCCAATACCTTCCGCTGATGGGAGAAGGTTTCTTCAAACTTATTCCAAGACACGCAATCCCGAATACCATTGGCTGGGTGAGGGAAACCAAGGATCGAATACAAGGCTCGGATGCTTGCACAAACAGCCTGCATCAGATTTTTTCCAATCTCCATATGCAAGACGTCATCCATGTGATGATCATATAGGGGGCTCTTGCAACTGCCATCTGCATTCAAGACCCCACGGTGCCTGGAATTGGGTTCAGCTGGGGTGAAATCTCGAATCTCCGACGGTGACGGAAGTGGAGTAGTCTTGATCTCGGTGGGGATGAGTCCGGACACCGCTGTGATGGTATCAGGTTGGTTCCAAAAGTATTGGGCAAGTTGTTTCCGGGCACATGCGACAGTGTCCCAATTTGGAGGACAGGTATTGTCTCCAAAGGTCAGTCCAGTAGAAAAGAAAACATGGCCAAAGATACGGTAGCAATGCATCCCGACCATTTGTGGGTGCCATTTCACATGACGAAAGGCTCCAGACACATCATCATCCCCAAGGTATATCTCTTGGTCTGGAGAAGAAATCCGGCCGTTGTAGATACTGACCAAGAAACGGTCGAAGGTTTCGGCGAACGTGAGTGGTGGTTCGGTCTTCTTGGTTGTCCAATCGTTGATGGCCATGGAAGTATACTTCACATGAAAAGTGGAATCAAAGATCAGAGAGGGGCTCTTGTATGGCTTGTTCAAGTCAACCATTCCAATTGGGGTGAAATGACAATGGCGCAAGAAAAAAGACAGCAATGGATTGGCCACAAGGGTGTATGATCGCATGAAGTCTTTCTCCACAGTTGATTTTGTCTTAATAATATCTTGGAGCACTGTTGAATGATCTCCATAACCAAGGTAGTCATGGAAGTTCTCATCAGTGGATTCGGCGTTACAGACCTTAGGAGCTCCCAAAAGGAAAGTCCGTTGTAATTCAACAATCACCTTTTCATCAACGGAAGCGCGGTACAACAAAGGTTCCAGTGTGGACCAGTTTTGGTGGACTCCAGTGTGGATACCTCCAACAAATCGGACAGCGGAAGGTATGTCAAGGTCGTAATGAAGGAGGCAGGCTGTAAACATGCGGCTCCATCGGTTCAATACAGCAGCAGCAGGTAGGTCTTTGTCTTGTGGCAAAGGTTCTTGGAGTGGACGGAAATTCACAAACTCGTGCTCGCAAAGAAGGATCCAGAGCAGTTGGGCTTTTGGGAAAGCTTCAAAGAAAGGACGCAGATCTTGTGACACAAAAACAGGATTCTTCAGTAGAATGATCCATATGTGTCAAAAGGCAATGGCGGTGCTGAAAGTCGGGTTCAAAGCGGCCTTACCATGGGGCGAATTCAGGGCCAGAGACAACTTCGGAGGAAACGTGGCTTGGGCCCTGGCCATCATTTCATGCGATGTCATTATTGTTGTGGAGTCAGAAGTCCCAAAGAACTGGTACCTGTAATCGGAGACAACAAGCTCTTCACTAGCTGGCGACACTGTTGGGTACCTTGTAGGTGGTGGTGCCTCCTGTGTCACAGGCAGTGATCTGGAATGTGGCAAAGCGGGCGTGGCCAGTGGCACGGGAGATGGGGTCAAAGCCACCACGAGAGCCACAGTTGAACTTTGGGACAGTTGTCCGTGTAGAGCCGGGGCTCGATTCAACTGGAATTCATCATGGTAATCTCGACCACCCACAAGAGATCGCATGACAACTTGGCCACCAAAAGAAGTGTTGCCGCACAATAGAGGGGGTAAAATAGATATAAAGTCTAGTGAGGTCATTGATGGGAAAGAAATAACTTGGATGAAAAAATGAAAGCATTATAGTAGACTAACCAGTAAGGGCATGGGTAAGTTCAACATTGGGATTGTTGTCGGCCCATTGTTTTAAGTCTCTTTGCAAATTGACAGGGAGAGTGTTCGGAGACGGAAGGTGGATCAGAGGAGAGTCTCTTCTGCGGCGACACCGTCGGCCAACATGACAGAAATGGCCACACAATGTTGTCATTCTATTTAGGCGTGGATGCATTAGTTCGATGGGGGGAACAGGCTGTTCCGGCCTACCTGGGCGAGTCCAACGGATCAAACCTGGTGCATCATTTGCATCAGTTTTGTTCCTTTTCCGTTCTGGGTTGCTGTCTTCAGAAGAAGGAAAGTCGCGCTTGCAAGTTGCAGCCCCCTGCTCTTTAGACTTGGAAGCAGAAGGACACAACAAACACATCACCGGTAACTCCACCGAGTAGTGCAACAGATTTCCGCTGTGGATTGCGCTGGTCAATTGATTCTTGGCAGAAGAGGTGGCCATAGCAATGGTGTCAAAAATGGCGCCGGGCAAAGGTTTGAAACCATTCACCTTGGGCACAAAGTGAGAAGTGGAGGCCGTAGTTGCAGCACTGGAGAAGATAGTCATCGCATCGTTCAGAATCAAGACCATCAAATCTGCGTTCAAATGGTGCTTACAAAGCCACGCTTTAGCTGCATTCTGGGTAAGAATCTTGGCGAAGGAGAGGAGACACTCCACCAAAAAGGGCATTTCCTTGTAGTTAAAATCCTTCTTCAAGAAACAAACAAACTTAAGAAAATTTGCCATGGTAACATGGAAATCTTCTGGGGTCTTCAAACGGCCACGGAAGAAAGGATGGGGGGACCTAGCAGCAATCTTGGACTTGTCCTCACCATAATCCATCTGTCGTGTGATCGTTGTGTTGTTTTCAACGACCGACTTGTACTCAGTTGCTTTGTACGGAGGGGGAGTAAAATGGAACAAACAGAGTTCACTCTTGATCTTCTCGGGGTCCAAGTTCAAAGAAGACTCCAAGAGCTTGAATTTTCGGACAACGGACATGAAAGCTGCCCCACACACGTCGACATTGAGCTTGTAACTGTGCTTGTAGGCGTTCATGGGGTCCATGGTTCGAGTGAATTCCTTCCAGCTGCGATTGAAGTGGTCCACAGAAGCCTCTTTTGACATTTTGAGCAGGCAAATGCCACGTTCATGCAACTTGGATGGGATCAGGATCTCTTCCTTTGACCCGTTCTGGTTCGTTTTACCGCAAGGAGAAGGGAAAATTTTTTTTGGATATGATCTGTCCTTTCCTTATAGTCTGGCTGCATTCTCTATAGCCTTCTGGCCATGGGTTCACACCGAAGAGGGCTGCAAGAGGCTGCATGTCAAAATGCTGGGTAGTCGACACGGAAGCAGGTGACGTTCCAGCGGGTGGGCGGTCACCGGTGTGTTCTGGCCAACCAAACGCACAGCTCTCTCCTTGAGGCTCTCAAAGGTCGTCTTGAATAGTTCGAAGTATTTGGTAGCAGGTGGAACGGATTCCAACTCGACTGCACTGACCCGAGCGCGGGAGGTCTTCAGATCATCATCAAAAGCCTTCTTTGCCTTGATACTTTGGACGTCATAGAGTTTTGCAAAGGTGTCAAGTCCTTTACCTTCGTTGTGATCAAAGGCGAACTTGTGGGCAAGATACCATGCTTGGCATTCGGTCCTGCGCGACAAGTAATCGGCAGAAACAAAGTCGTCGGAGAGATTCATGGTACCCGTTGGATACTTTTTGCCTGATGAGACGGGAAGTCAAAGGGGAACTCCAGCAAGTAGGTGTTCTTCCTTGATAAGGAAAGGGATGTCTTCGTGGGCGTTCCCGTTAGGGTCGACAAGGTTCTCCGGATGGTGGTTCTCAACAGTGAGGTGGGGAAAGTCGAGTGAGGTCACAAGAGCCTTGGGTACCAGACTGACAAAAACGTCTCCCAAAACAGTTGGGTTGGTAGAGACCGGTGTAGGATACGCAAAGTTGTCCTCATAGGAGAAAAGAACAGACTTCTCATCATCCGTGACAGTGGGGGCAAGGAGGGTGCGGAGGTTGCCGCCTGTGTCCCACCAGAATAGGAACTGCCATCCTACACGTTGAAGGCGGACAGTACGTTGCGGTAGACGCTTTGAAGCATTTCTTGATAGCTTGAGTACTATCGGCATCAATGGGGAGCTCAGCTACAGAAACGAGTTTCTGCTTTTCTTGAGCAACGAGGCCAGCGAGAGTGTTGGAGTTCAAAATCATGATGGCTTTCGAAATTCGAATAAATGAAGTGTGGAAAGGGAAAACAAAAGTGGATTTCGCAATGTTTATGCAAACCCTGTTGATGATTTCTGTAGGTTGTAGTAAGGTTTCTACTAGAGGCGACAAATACATCACATCGTGTCATGGAAAAAACGACGTTGTGCATCGCAAACGTTTGTGAAATCCCGTCAAATCCCATGGGACATGGATTGGAAAACCCCGCGGGATTATATTTTAAAGTGATGGGAATTGCGTGGGATTTCGAAAAAAAACGCGTCGACAAAGGCCAGAAACGTGTGTTCGTGGAAGTTCCGAGTTGGAAAATACACAAATGGTTCTACTCGTAGAAGGCGAGCGTTAAATATCTTGATATCTTTGAGTCCCATGTTAAATAGCCTTGCAAACGTAAAGGGAGTATCAAGAAAAGAGAGGAAATAACTGTCGTGTTGATGGGATCGATGATGGCAACGATGGTTGATGGGTGTGACAGGTGCTGGAGAAAAAACTGTCAGATAATCAACTCCGTAGCTGTAATGAGAGCCTCAACGCTCTAGCCACCTCTGGAGTATACTGAGCTCAAATCTACGTCGGCTATGGATTGCCTACAATAGGAACAGGTGCCAGTGATGCT